TTTTTTCAAATTTGGAAATTGATCAACCACATTGTAAAATAATTTTCTAGAATTAATTTTCCGCGTAAACAATAGTATTGCGATAGTATTTTTTGTTATATTCAAATAAATTTCATGTAACATAAAGTTCAAAATAATTATTATAGATGTCTTGGTGAAGCATTCAGTTTAGGTATCCATGGGGATCCATGGAGCTTAAAATGCATTTGTCTTATAATAAAATACACAAACGGCGGGATAAAATAAATTTATTAATAATTCAGATAGGATGTAAATGTTAGTTCGGTCTTCTCTAGCCTATCATTACAGTCTTAAAACTTTGTTAGTCCAGACCGGTCCAGATTAGTCTAGTATTCAAGCTGAGAGCAGGTCGATTGTTTTCAGGTCCCGATTGTAGTTCATAAGTCTAAAACCAGGCCACTGATATTCCGAATTCAAAATATAAAGAAATATTGAACTATACCAGGCGGAATGATCCTCAAAGTTTCCTTAAAGACACATTCTAAATATTTCAAATGTTCAATCTCATCAATAGTTGGATGATGATTACGATCGGGTAATATATCAAGCACTTCTTTACGAAGACGATCCTGAACATCCGGATTTTTTGCGAGAAAGTATAGTACCCAAGATAGTGAACTACTAGTGGTCTCATGTCCAGCTATAAGTAATGCCATAACCTGAAATTTGAAAATTTAAATTTTAAGTATATTTATTATACATACTTCAAATAAAAATCAATAAAATTATAACGTTATAGATTTAATAAATAAATTCTTACCTGACCAATTAATTCATTATGTGTTAATTGTTCATCAACTGGTAAGGTTTCATTTGACTTTATTAACAATGACAATAAATCTGTTCCTCTAACTGGACTATTTTTTTGTTCAACAACCAGTTTGTCTGAAACATTATTGATAATTTTAATAGAGTGAGAATATTGTTTATTATAATCAGTTGGTAAGTTTCTTAAAAATGGAAAGTGCTCAACAAGAGCCATGTATAAAGGCGAAGGATTTTGGCCCACTATTGTTTTGTATGCTTGAGCTAATTCAGAGTCTGAAGTGGTAGAGTTGAATTCGTAATTAAACCCTATTTACATTAAACAAAGTGATTACAATTAAGATCGGAAAATTATTGATAAATTTAAGATGTAGGACCAATACAAAATAATGCTTACCAACAAGACCAATAACATCTAAAGTTATCTTTGGAATTAATGTTGTAACCGTAATTCTTTCCTCTTTCTTGTCACCAATTTGTTTCATCCATATATCTTTTAATTTATGGCCAGCTTGAACGAATGTTGGAACCATTTCCTTAAAATTTAAAAGATAAAATAATAATAATTAGATACAATTGCACGAAAATCATTTTTAACAGTTATACGTATTATTGATGATCGTAAATACCTTAACATTTGCAAAAGCAAATAAAGGATTCATCATTTTTCTTTGTCGTTTATGAGAATCACCCTCAGCAAGTATGATGCCATCACCCAAAAATTCCTTGACCATGTTTCTGTTAAAAACGAACCTTGGATATTCATATGGACGATTCACAAGCACTTGTTGGACAAGTTTTGGATCGGAAATTACTATGTATGGTTTATTCCATAAGCCGTGATACTTAAATATCCCACCATATTGTTTTGATAAGTAGGCAAAAACTTCACCTAATTCTTTATTTAAAAAAGAAGCATAGTGTCCAAGAATAACATTGTCGACAGGTGGACCAGGAACTTTACGTAAAGGAGACAGATATAAGGGATAAATGTAACACTTGTAAAAAGCGTAGCTAATAAATGCAATAACTGAAGCTAAGTAGAAATACATTTTAGAGAATAAGATGTCAAAAGAAGTGGCTAAAAGATAATGGACATAATGTAATATTTTTATTCTCATGAGAATCAGCCATTATCGCCTATTTTATATCAAATTTCTTGATAGCATATATTTTAAATTTGATGAAAATAATGCTGATACGGATTTATTGTTAACCCGTTACGATTTATCATTACTCATGCAATCTTTTAGCGCAACCTTAAAATAAGCACACACGCATATAATATATGTAATATTATATTATACGACTTACTGATCTGAATTTTACTAGGTCCATTTTAGGTTAGAATTACTTCCCGAAGTTCGAATGCTGCATATAGTTTCTCGAACATTCATTTCTAATATAAGAGAAGGTTTGTACAACGTGGTAAATTGGTCTTTGTTAGCAAAAAAGTTCCTTCGGAATTATGATTTCATAGTCCCAGTAATCATTTTGTTAGAAAAGATTTAAGTTCCAAAATGCTGCAGCAATGGCACACCCGAACTTTGAAAGGCTATTTCAGGTAATCTTTTATTGGCGACTTTTAATTTGAGCTTTATATATATATATATATATGGGTACCGCCAAGTGAAAGTCAAAAATTCTAAAAATAGACTTCTTTACATAATAACGGAATGCAGGTTTCCAATCGATCTGACTAGAATGATAAATTCTACAGTTATTATTTTTTTTTTTTTGATCACATATTAGTATCATTTAAAGTCCGTATTCCGTTGTCTAAAGAAATCTATTTTTAGAAGCCATGGTTTTCAATTGGCGACATCCATATAACAAAAATAACAGAGATACATCTGCGCGATAATAATTGCGCCTGCATAGTAATTACGTTATAATTATCCGACTAACCCGGTTATCTGTAAAATAATGTTTTTTCTGAATGAAACGATTTTATCTTTATTTCAGATCGTACAGCAATTACGTATCTGTTGCCATATTTTAATGGTCTCTTTATTGTTATGGTCGATCCATTTTGTTGAGCCGGAATATTACTCTCCGGATTTTAATTGCTGACTCATAAATCCCATGTCCCATATAAAGTGCTGGTCAAGCTAACGCCAAAATATTAATGATCCAGATTTAGCATAAAGACTGTGTGCCTCATAAATCAATTAGATCGTTTATAGAAAAAATTTAATTCCTAAACATCCGATTTATGTACATATTGGTAATATTCCCGCATTTAACATAAAAGATTTCGTGCCACACAACCAATTAGTATTATTTATAAAAAAAATTTAATTCCTAAACATCGACTTATGTATTGGTAGAATTCCTGAATTTAGCATAAAAGACTGTGCGTCACACAAATCAATTAGATCATTTATAGAAAAAAAAAAGTTCATTCCTAAACATCCGACTTATGTTTTGGTAGAATTCCTGTTTGCGCTGAAACAAACATGACACATCTTGAACCAATAAAAAATTAGCGGAACACATGAAAATCAAGGAACCCAGTGATTATCACATTACATAAGAATATGCAATGACGTCATTTATTTACTTGCACTAATAAACTATACTATCACCTGACCCTAATACTAACCTTAAGTTAGACAGAATAATTAATTACGCAATGTGATGAACACGAATATATCACTGGTTCCCCGATCTTCAATCTTCCCAAATTAGCTAAGCAGATTTATATTATCAGTGTGACCAGTGTGTGGGTGAGAAAGATATAGCAACAAATCTAAAAACCATTATTCATCGCATAAAGTCAAAATGACATCTAACGGTTTAGGTGATCGTCGAGAATACATGTAAAAAGTTTCTTTTGTTTTTTATCCCTTAATTTCTATTATCCGGTAGTTACTATTGATCATGTTACTCATATTAATACTATATCACGGTATATGTAATAGTTATTTCACGTTTTATCATAGATATCATTAATTATCACGGATCAGTCTCGATTAGGGATGGCAAATGTTTTAAAACGTGATCTTAAAAATCATGATTGTTGTGTTTAAAATAGTTTTTAATATATTT